TATATATATATTATTATATATATATATATATATATATGTATATATATAGTAATATATATATATATATATATTTGTATGTGTGTGTACTGTGTGTTTGTGTAAATATATAGCTATATAATTCTCCCAATGCATTCTATTGTAGCATTTGTATTGGTATAGTTACGTATTCTACCTCTCATTGTTCCCGATGTACACTACCCCATAACAGCTTAGTGAGGCGTTGGAGATTTCCAAAACGGGCAAAGTGAGGACGGAAGATCTGTGTATGGTAATTTCCAAAGATCCAAAGAAGCTGGGACGTGTACAGGTGAGTATTTTTGCGCCACATGCGATATTCAGTCGATGGGTATGGCCGCCTTACAAGGTATTATTGCTGGAAGAAGGGTCACAGTATCCTCACACATGTTGGTCTGAGATTATTCATCGGGCCGATAAATAATGGTAGTATTCTCAGATATGCGCTTATACTTTCTCTCATCTTGCTCGTTCGATATGATCATCCTGAGTGTGGACATATGTTGCCGAGACACAACTATCACGTCACATACTATATAACTATATTAACCAACTATCACGTCACATACTATATGACTATAAAAACCACCTATCATGGCACGTACTATATAACTATATTAACCAACTAACACGTCACATACTATATAACTATATTAACCAACTATCACGTCACACACAATATAACTATATTATCCAACTATCACGTCACACACTATACAACTATGTCACCCAACTATCACGTCACATACTATATAACTATATCATCCAACTATCACGTCACATACTATATAACTATATTAACCAACTATCACGTCACACATTATATAACTATATTAACCAACTATCACGTCACACACTATATAACTATTAACCAACTTTCACGTCACACACTATATAACTACGCCACCCAACTATCACGTCACATACTATATAACTATATCACCCAACTATCACGTCACATACTATATAACTATATTAACCAACTATCACGTCATACACTATATAACTATAATAAAACGCGTATCGGCCTATCTCTGTCCATTTTGCTACTGTCTGCTCAAGAAGGTGCATTCGGTTGCACTGAATTAAATCTATTGATGCTGCGTACTGAGGTTACTCTCTCTTAAGTCCATATTATTCCAGTAATGTTCAGTGTTGTCTTTAGTCAGGGAGATACAGCCGTCGTTGTGTCTAAGTTACATAATCTCCGATAAGGGTTATATGCGAGCTGTTCGAAATTCAAGGTCACATTGCCCTATGAAGACGCAGTGTACGCTCGATGTCGTACGTGACTCGCCTGCAACATGCTGGGTATTGTTTATTGTGCACGTGCGTATCATATACCTACACAGACACCGCCATATACGCATACTCTCTGTTCAAATGGGGTTATTGTCCCAATATCTCTAAAAGAAGCAAGTCACTAACATATCTCGCACTTTATCGGGACGTGCAGGAGTTGCTCGTGATGGCCGATGAGATCAAGAAGGCGAGGAAAAACTTCGAGGATGTTATTGATGGAGATGACGTCGACGAGTAGAGCGCACTCTCACTGGTACCAATCCTAAAATAAAAAGGTCTCTGAGCCTTAATGCATATGGTGACCGCTTGGGCGCTATGTGTCAGTGAGGTGGCTGGTATGCGTTATTTGCTGGTACAATACGTACGTATACAGCCGACTCGTGCTGAATAATATTCGCGCATGGTGTGCCGTATGCGTGGTGCCGCGTCTTTCGATGCTGGACGGTACTGCGCAACTTGTTTGGGTATCCCGGGTCGGATCGTCACATCGATATCACAGCTCTTGCAGTGTGGGCACGCAAAACTTCCAGATACATTTCGCGATGTGTAGATGCAAATAGGGTACTATGAATGCCACCTGAACATCCGTATGATATGCAGCAAATCTATCGCGACATAAATTTTGATCAGAGCAGCGGTTCGAAGAAGCGATTACAGTCATTGCGCACGAGCACAAACCCGTCTTGAAGTACCAATCACTCGTGGAATCTTTCCCTCTGTATTTAATCTTGCGCACGAGCTTGTATGGAACAGTTCTACCGTTAAGGCACGAAATTATGGCCCTGCAATCGGCTTCGGATATTTGGTTTATAGCGTGTACACCAACGGGCCTAATTCATAACCAGTGGAAATTGCTGGAGTCAACGATATAATGTCTGGTCGACATAAAGAAGTGTGGCTTTCGAAGAGTACTCTGACGTGTTGCAAAGAGGGTTTTGGTTAGATAGTCATTGTCTGAAACTTCAACCCTAAAATTCGAAAACCATCATTCGGGATTTGTGTGTGGATCCACGGAGCGATAGGCTGGAGAGTATTTCAGTGTCTATAACAAAAGTTTAGTAAATAATATCATCATGAGCATAAAAATGTTTGCTTATAACTGTATTAAATAAAATACACGTCCATATTGTATGAAGCTTTTTTATTATTGCGCTGCGTATTAGTTGCTCGGTATTTTTAGATGATAGCTGTCACTTTTCACAGCCTTCAGATTAAATATGTCAATAAACGAAATACGTTTACTCAATCGCGGGGATAAGAACCATGTCGATGACATGAATGACACTACCTCCGCAGGCTGGAATATCAGCCATAACAACTTTAGCATCGTTGATGAACACCTCACCATCGACAACGGATATAGTGGCGTCCTGCATATTCATCATAGTGATATCACCATCAGCAGCGTCGGCCGCCATCACACCTACACCGGGAAGCACGTGGTAGGTCAAGATCTCAATGAGAGATGCCACACTCTCTTCCTCCATTAGTGAGGCGAGTGTCGCAGGGTTGAGAGCCGCGAACGCATCGTTGGTGGGCGCGAAGACAGTCATGGTCGACTCGGGATCGGATAAAGCATCAACCAGACCGGCAGCTACTACAGCCTCCACCAGGGTTGTCAGCTCGGGGGTGGCCATTGCGATCTCGGCGACAGTCATGCATGTCTCACCACTCTCCGAAACAGCATCACTCTCCATGACATCCCCACTTTCCATGGCACTTCCACTCTCCATGACATCACCACTCTCCATGGCACTCTCCATGGCGTCACCACTCTCCATAGCATCCATACCCATATCCATATCCTCACCGTCACTGGTCGACATACCATCGTCCACTGGCGGTATTAGTACGGTATCGATAATGTGCACGTAGCTGCCTCCACACGCGGAGATATCGGCTGTAATAACCAGTGCATCATTTATCATCACTGAACCATCTTCAGCGACGGAGATACTGGCCTCATCGCCATTCAGCATCTCGATCATCATGCCATCCATGGCAAGATCTGACGAAACAGCATCGGGATATACGTGGTAGATAAGTACATCAGTTAGCGCGGCAATATTATCAGGGTCTGATAAGAATTCCAGAGTTGCGGCGTCGACCTTTTCGAAAGCGGCGTTAGTGGGTGCGAAAACTGTCAGCGTTGTTGTCGGATCGCTAAGTGCTTCAGCCAAGTCCGCTTTTACTACCAGGTCAAGCAATGTTGACAGCTCAGGGGTTTCCGTCGCCAATTGGGCGATGGTTTTACACTCTTCCTCTTGACGGGGCGCAATGGCGGTGACGGCCGATGCCAGTGCTAACATAGAGATACAACTTTTGAACATCTTGATTTATTTGTCTGTTGACTGTAGATTATATGAGTCTTCTATTTGATGGTAGAGTAATGATAAGTATTGCTTTGCGAACTTGTATTTTATAGTCGCGCCACCCGGGCTATAGCTGGCTGCAAGGTGTTCTTTGTTTACTGTATAGAATTGGTGCGCGTATACGCCAATAGCATTCCAGAGGAAGCATTCATGAAAGACTGAAATGAACAACTCAATATGTGTAAATATAGAAGTTGGCTATGGAAGCCGGTGCACTTCTTGCAAGTTGCAGGGCCCCAGTCAACAATTGCACATCCTCGAAAAGTAATAACTCGCGATCGTATTGGGGAAAGGTCATTGGCTCATTGGCCACATAGACTATAGATTCTATTGTTGCGATTTGCCGAACCATACAAACAAATATTTTTAAATTTTAAATTTTATACATACCTCTGCAACCTGTATTTCAGAGTGGCTCTCTCTCTAATAAATTGAGAGCGAGGCAGCTGTGAGCCTGACTCTATAGAGAGAGAGAGAGAGCCTGAGACTATGGTGCACAGCACATTTTGATTTTACAGGCCATGTCTCTATGACTATTGAATATGTATATGTAGAATAAATTTAGTTTTGGTTTTTACGACAATTTTTGTAATATTTAGAGGGCAATGCAATTTTGTATCTGAACACTGCGAAGTGTGAAACTGTGAACACTGACAGTGAACTCCTCGAACTCAGAACTCTGACTCTTAGTTCGAGAAGCATCACGGACATGAGGACATCATATTGTAAACGGTAAACCATTGTGTAAACCAAAAAAGAGTATGTAAATATTCACCCTCTTCTCTTGTCACTGCTGAGTTGTGTAAATATAAACTGAAAACTCTGAAATGTAAATAAATAACAACCGGGATATAAAAAAGAATGGCAAGCACTAGCCAAATAATTAGTTAATATTTACTCTAAGGAGATATATGACTCATATCAAGCATCTCCCACTCCGCAGTCCATACTCCATTCATTGCTCAATACATAATTGATATGTACATAATTCGACAAATCTTATTTTTTCAAATTTTATTATTTTTGTAGATTTAAAAACAAACAAATACACCCTTAATGATCACAGTCATCATTCATCATTCACCGATCCCACAATCTGCTGTGGAAAGTTCGGCAAAATTTGAAAATTTGAAAAAAATGATTCTTGTGTCCATATTAGTAACGCTTTGTTTTGTGTTTTTTAAAAACAAAAACTCAATGCGCATAAAACCGTCTGTATTTAAAATTATTGTTGATATTTAGTACATATATTTATTTACAGATATTTGGTTATCTACATGAGATGAGGAGACGTCTGTCCCAGTAATACAATTTAGGGTGTAGTTTTTTGGACTTTTGGTGCACATTGGAGTGTTCGGAAGTCAGACCTGTAAATTTTGTACACTTACTATTACTTTTATTATTTTGATACATTTCAACTAAATAAATTCAAATTGTGTATACGATGTCGTAAAACAATTTGAAAATTCCGTTAAAAAATAGACTGTTTGATTTCTGAAGGATATGCTATATTTACATATGCACCCAATTCACTTTTTGCGCCACAAGTCCACAGCGGTACAGCCCAGCCCCACAGGCCACAGGTCACAGTTCACACACACAACTCACCAGAAAGGCCACAAGCAGAGAGAGAAGAGGTAAGAGTTAACTCAGTTGAGACTTGACACTTGAAAGTTGAGACTTGAGAGTTGGGATATACGAGTTGAGGGACTTTTTATTTTATTTTAAAGTACAAGAGTTGAGACCACGAGAGTTGAGACTTGAGAGTTGAGAGTTGAGAGTTGAGAGTTGAGAGTTGAGAGTTGAGAGTTGAGACAGTGACATGAGACCTAAGCTCAATGCGTTAACCGTTAATACTTTATTACATACCGATATAAGATTTTTATTAGATACATGGTCCTATGGATTTCAGATGGGGTGTAATTTCTAGGTCCGCAGATTTGTCCCCAGTCGAGGCTGTTGAGCGCGCCAAATATGACCGGGCTCCAAGTTCCTATTTTCTATTGGCTTTGGCTATGCCAACCGAATAGTATATTCAGTTTGTTTTCATTTTCCGGCAGTATCCACAAGTCCACAACTCATTTCTCAGTTCTCGACTTCTCGCCCCTATATGAGAATTAGCACCGTATACAATCAAAATCACAATACACTTGATATTTGCGGAATCAGTTTGTTGATATATCCGCAGGTGCAAAGTTGTAGTCAAAAGTTAAAACAGGCCGTCGGTTGGGAATTGGGATAGGCGTTATCAAAATCATAGCGAGCTTATGATTGGTCGACACTCTCAATATAGCCCATATCTTGGATTTTAGGTGCACTGTTGGGCATATTTGAGCTACATAACCGCTTTAAAGTTTATAAACATGAAAATAGGCGTTAAAGTTTAATTTTTATTCAGCATACACATAACGTAATGAGCTTAGCATGAGACTGCCAGACTCTTTTGTGTTGAGAGACTTGAGACTGGCTGTCACTGACAGTGAAGAGTGGAGTCTGGAGACTGGAGACTGGAGACAACCTCACATCCTGTCAACCACATGTGACGTGTTAGATGTGTGACTCTTTGTCCGGTTTGTTCTATGTTTTATTTTAAAACAATATATGTTTTGATTTTTCTCTTTTTTAAAAGATTGTTTGTTTGTTTTTATATTTTTTTGCCACAACGTAGATGAGATATTTTTTATTTTTTTACTTAATTAAACAAAATAAAAAATATCACCGGTGGACTTGTGGAGGGTGGACTGTGGACTGTGGAGTCTGTGTCAGACTGATGAGTTGTAAAATGTTTACATAGGTATTTTTCTAAAAAAAGAAAGACAAAAGTGTTCGATTGGCACAAAATTGAAGTTTGTATTTTTACTATATTTATGGTGCCTATGCTTATGCGTGTTTCATTTTTTTTAAAGAGATCTGGTGTCAAACATTTCACGATGATTTCTCTATGAGTAGGGACTTGGGACTTGGAACATCATTTATTTATACATATTTATAGCCTCGTATCAGTTTGAGTTGGAAGTAATTTTTAGTATAAAAAAATCACCAAATTTTTATCTTGTGAGGATCATTTTATGATTATTTTATGATTCTCAGGATATTTGGAGAGTGGAACTCTAAGAGTCTCTGGCTCTCTGGCTCTCTGGCTCTCTCTGGGAGACATTCAGTCATGCCCTTTGCACAATATACGTTGCCACTTGCCTGTTTAGTGTTTGCCAAGGGTCCAAGACACAGGCAGTCAGGGACCCAGAGGCCCAGCTGCAGTCTTGTTGCAAAACTTGTGCCGGTGGGGTGCACCTCGATAAAATTTCGTTTACAACCCTCATTATCTATGGACTGAACATTGGATTTCGTCCAATCATCCATTGGAGCTTTTAGCTTTAGATTTCGATTGTCACCGCCAACTAATTGTGCCACACGAAAAAACAGTGATGATATGTAGCGCAAAGCTGTATTTAGACCTGTAGTAGGGTGTGGCCGTATAGGTTCAATGAGTCGCAGTTGTGTATGATTTTATATACGTATTCTTTTATTGTTGTGAGAGGATTGTACAGCTTATACAATCTAACTCGCCTATTTTACTGTTTTCAACTCTGTCGTATGTTAGCGTACAATACCTCGAGCGCAATAGCAATGTTCGTTTATAGACTGCTTCAAAGACTAGTCAGAATCGTCCCGAGATAATGTTTACATGGCTTCGCTACTCATCCAAAATAGTTTAGACGATCAACTTGTTTCTGTACTAGATGCGAACCGAGCTACGATTCTGCGTGTATTGTATTGCTCAGGAATAAATAGTAATTGTGATCTGCACATTGAATCATTTATATAAGACAGCACAAACAGGAATAAGTAGTAATTATGATCTGCACATTGAATCATTTATTTAAGACAGCACAGACATGTATATGTATTATCGGAAGTTGAAGTCGCAGAATCGCATCTGCGAAAAAATATTTTTTGTTTTAAGCTGAATGGCCAATAGCGGCAGCTGGACGGTCTAGAGCTGAATTAAACTTTCACGAGCTGTTATTTTTTGTTGTTGAGATAATTTCTGAAAGCTGCAAACAGTCCGACGTTAATTGGTGACCTTGATCAAGTATTCGTTTGTAACAAAATATAATCATCGTCGGCGTGCCGATGAAAAATCTAAAAGCGAGCCTTTATCTGTCGTCCCAAGATGCTTTGCGGAGCGCTCTATGTAGATTCGTCGCCGTCTCAGGTCGTATTTCTTGAAAAGTTACATATCTGTCGTACTCGGTGCATATAGTTCGAAAACTTGGCAAAAAACGCCTCAAGCAATCGCACACACCACGAGACTCGCGCGACTCGCATGTTGTTTCGTCGAAGTGGTCGTTGTATGACAATGTAACCACCACCAAATCCCATTCTCGGTGCATATTGCGATTACGCGTGTACTTTATGATGTAATTTGTGATCCGACTGACCAAGGCACACACTACGAGCTTGCACAGTTCTTAAAAGTATACCAACCTAATAGGACAGCTCTTCGTTTGGCACGCCAAGCACAAGTACATATGAGGTTGCATTCATGTTCTCTAGGTGCAAGTTCTGGAATCAAAGTAGTTGTCCATAGACTCTATTTGCTTGCTCGCGCAACAATCGTTGCTCGTGTGCGCATAGGTCGTCTTATCGGATACTACGGATTGACGAAAGAATAAAACGTCCGGGAACCAAAGTTGCAATTGTTTGCCTCACTCTGTGAAGCACAGGTACAGGTGAAGTGATTTTATTGGTGCGTATTTAAAATAATGTAAGAAAGTGGCGGTGCTGTTGTAGTCAGCATCGGGTGCGCATGTGTATGGTCGCATGTGAAGGTGTAGGTAGTGATCAAAGCAGATGCAAGTACATATTCCATATCAACATAAAATGTAGAGTCTCAGGCCCCAGATCTCTGGCACAGGCAATTGTGCTTTGCAGTTCGGCAGGTGTAGCGTAGAGAGAAACTACAACGGTAGTGTTTCTCACCAGTATGGGGTGTTTCTAGTTGCTGCAACTAACAGTGTTCGTAGTCTGCGTTGCTTGCGATTGGCGCCCCACAGGAAATCCCACAGGCGCCCAATATGGCCCACAATCAATTGAGAGGAACACGTCCTGAATAGACGTACTTGAGAAAATGTCGTGAATAGACATACTCGAGGAGATGTTCTGAAAGACGTACTTGTGGAAATGTAGACATATACTTGAGGAAATGTCGTGAATAGACATACTTTGTGGTTCTCAGTGAACTGATCAAAGTTAGAAGCGCGCCATCGGCATCATCCCCTACAGGTTTGACACAGGCACAGATGCACACAACTGCTTTGCTTAGAAGGATAGTATGTACATAATCCAAATTCACAGGCATAAGCAGTACTGCACACTATTCCAGATAATCCGTATCCGGCGTGGAAGCCGGTTCTGGAGATAGGTGTCAGACAGTTATGCGCTATCAGAACGCGGCTGTCTGCTATACTTAACTACTCTAATCTATTCTTAGACGGCTCTGTACTATTTTTAGTCGGTCGGGCAGCTCGATTGTCGTAGCTACTCCTCTAGAGACATGCCCATATCATCATCCATACCATCCGCATCTGAAAAGTTTGGTAGTGGGCAAGTTTAAGTAACTCTAAATAAAATATATACAACCCTTGATGTTCAAATGAATTGGCTATAAGTTCTACTTTCCTGTGATAACAATTGGTGTAATGTGTGATAGTCTCTGAGCTTGTCATACATGGGGCGATTGCAATTCCGCTGCGGTGACCTTCAGAATAGCCATATCGTCGACCCGATTGTGTGCAAAGTTCTTGAGTCACAGAGACTAACACATTGCAAAAATTGATATCACAGGAAAGTAGGGGCGTCTGCTATAAAATACAAGAACTTCATCTCAAGTATCTGAGAGACTAACACACATTACAACAATTGACATCACAGGAAAGTAGGGGCGACAAGAACTTCATCTCAGTATCTCAGAGACTAAAACACATTGCAAAAATTGACATCACAGGAAAGTAGGGTCGTCTGCTATAATATACAAGAAGTTCATCTCAAGTATCTGAGAGACTAACACACATCACAACAATTGATATCACAGGAAAGTAGGGGCGTCCGCTAAAAAATACAAGAAGTTTAGCTTCAAGTACCTCGTATAGGCATATGAGGCTTACGAGTGATGCCTTCTTGCATACAGACACTACACTAATGTGCATGGACAACGGTCCAGAAACAATCTGATCTAGATATACAAAATGTTACATAATGGAAAGTAGATGAATACTCATCAAAACATATGTGAACGGATGTACATGCTGCAATTTTCAAAACCACGGTTGAAGTACAAGGGCAACCCACTTCGAGGAGCTGTCTCGATCTCGTTTCACCAAGCGTGAAGAACACATGTATTGCTTAAAGGTCTGTATCACTATATGTGAGTATAAATACGAGGTCTATATCAATATATGTGAGTACCAATACGAAACTCACCATGCCGGAGCCTCATGTCTGATATCTTACGATTCGCTGCTTTGGTGTCGTCTTCCAAGTTGGGTGTTTCGTAATCCATCTTTAAATCATCTAATAACGTTTGTCCGATCTAGGTATAGTTTACGAGAGTGTATTGGAGTGTTAGCTTTCAAACTCGAAAGATTGATCAGAGTGCGATCAAAGGTATGTGTCCAAGTATTTGGATTCGAATTTCGTCTGATTTAAACGTATGTGCGATTAGAATGCGATTAGGAGCGTGTGCCGAATTATTTAGGTACATACATGGTCTAATCAGAGAGCCATTAGGATGGTGTATTGATACGTTATATTCAAAAAATAAAACAAACCCAATTTAGGTGGCATAGAGATATCTGGGACCACGTATGTAATAGCAGATACGCACAATGCTACCTCTACAATCCCTTAAGTCAGTGTTCCACGAGGCAATCTGAGTGGTACACAACGACGAAGCTACTGTCACAAACATACAATACTACTAACGGAAGCTTTGGAACCAACCCATATGTGCTAGTAGGGTTAGCAGCGGTGTGAGGGGGGGCTACACAAAACTAGACCTAAATAAAACATGGTGAATAATCAATCTGGCACTAATAAGTCCCAAGCGAGAGTGCGGCGGAAGACACATATACACCATCACGAACAGGATCGATAACAGACTCGTCGTGCAGATACTCAAGCCCATCTCATAGTACAACAAACGTGTGAAAGCAACTTTTATCAGTGTGTTGCACAAAAACACCTCGCCAAACACACACACCAGCTTATGAATGAACGGGTCATTGACTATGCATACACACCAGCTTATCAATAAGCGGGTCATTAACTATGCACACACACCAGCTTATGAATAAACGGGTCATTGACTATACACTCACACCAGCTTATGAATAAACGGGCTATTGACTATACACACACACCAGCTTATGAATAAACGGGTCATTGACTATACACACACACCAGCTTGTCAATAAACGGTCATTGACTATGTACACACACCAGCTTATGAATAAACGGGTCATTGGCTATACACACATACCAGCTTATGAATAAACGGGCCCTTGACTATGCACACACGCCAGCTTATGAACAAACGGGTCATTGACTATACACAGACACCAGCTTATGAATAAACGGGTCATTGACTATACACACATACCAGCTTATGAATAAACGGGTCCTTGACTATATTTCTATGCTGGCATTCGCCGCCCTTAATCTCATACACAGACGTGAAGTGGATGTCTCCGTCGTCTCCGTTCTTGTGTTTGGAGTAGTAGATCTGGTACTCTGGCTCGTTGACATTCATGAGCGAAAACACGGTCCGTTCGCCCCACTTGCCAATGGGATGGTCATAGAACTCAATCACTCGCGCGGCGACGGTCTGCTGCTCGATCTGAGGGCGTTGGGGGT